GGCCACCACAAAACGGGACCACGTTTGCAGACGGTGCGCGCCCTGCAGAAGAGAACTGCTCTTCCGAGTCTCGCTGCGTGTGAATGGGTTTTCTTTGAGCCCTTCAGCCGTCATAACCGAACCGTTATTCTGTGAGGGTATCCTTAAAATGTACAAATCTGAATTTCATTCATTGAGTTATCGCATTGTTTATAATAGATGTTTACTACAGTTGGATTTCCTGTTTAAAAACTGAGCTACAGGAAAGGCCAGAGCTACAGGAAAGTGATCATTGATACGTCAGCGCCCTGCGGGACACGTCTACAAACTCTGAGAAAAGAGAATGATTATTTCACGCTCCTGTGGTTCTGCCCAGTCCCAGCGCTTTTCGGCTAAGTGTTCCCACCCTGTGGTGATAACGCCTGAAATACCACGGCAGAAACCGCTATGAATTATTAATTGTTCCTGAGTTATGCATGATGTTTGTCTTTCCTGCGCCCTCCTGGGACTAGACCTCCGTTCCGTTTAGGAGCAGAGACGAGACGAGTCAGCCTCGGTCGCCGGATTCTGTGCTCAGTTAGTAACTTCATTCTCAACAGTCCCAAACTATACATTTCTCATGCGTGTCAATCTAGCGCATTCTTAAAGACCTCCAAATTTCGGAAAGCACGGCCAACCTACAGGCCAGCTGCAGCACGTTCAACATGCCCGCCACGACACAAGTCACGGCACCCGATCAGAGAGGGGACGGTTCAGTAATACATCGTTACGATCGATAACTCTTGTCCACTTTAGAAAGCCGTTTGCATGACCTTGTCGTTTTCATTTCCAGATTATGGCTTCCCTGGAAACTCGAGGGGGTACAGCGGTCCAGAGGGAGTATATCAGAAATCTGCGTGAGTTGAGTTTTCACTTTGGGCGGCAGACGTTGCTGTCAAGCGAGACGCGCAGAAACGGTGACCATGTTCAATAGTAGGGTTTGCGTGCCCTCTAGTGGACAGTAGTGGTAATGCTACGGTGGGTTTAGCACATTGTGGCGTAGATATATTTTTTACACTTTTATTAATATCGCGTTTCTTTCCCTGCAAGAAAGCATCATCATTTGTCTAAACACAGAAACACGAAGTTGTACTCTCTTCTCAAGCCATGTTTATCTCGTGTTATGTCAAATTGTCTTGGATGCCTTTGCCTTCCAGGAAGAAGAGATCACTCAGCAATGAAAAGAATCAAATACATAGAGAAAACACTAACCTATGAAAAACATGTCTTTTGGCAGCGTGTCAATTTAGCTCTGTCCCGCTGACCAGTGAACGTCAAGTTTAACGTTTGGGTAACACAGTAAGGGCCTCTAGTGGCGGAAATCAGATTCACTGCTTCCAAGAAATCCCAAAAGTGTTACAAGCGAAACAGTCGGGTCATCTACTTGTAGGATCCTGACCTGCACACGTGGCACACTCTTTACTGAATGATGGTCACTTTACCCAGGATTTGCCTGCATGGAACCCGATGTCTTCAATTCTGTTTTCTTCTCCTTTCAGCTTAGGGTCACCAAAATACACTGTGACAACTCTCAACGCCCTGCCAGAGCTACCTGAGAAAGGTACTGGAATGACCTATCTTGGGGAATGCAGGGATGTACTGTTATGAAGCTCTTTGCAGTACCCAGTCACGGTTTCAGACTGAGACAAGGGAGTATTAAGAATAAATAATTGTAATAATATTACCTGGTGTTTATTAATGTTCGGAAGGCACTATACATATAGGAAGAGACTTCACCCCCCACTTGATCTGGGGTGATCTGCTGTGCGGGGGGTGAGAAACTGCTGCACCAGCTGAATTAAGAGGGAACTTTCGGAGGCCAGACTGTTCATACCCAGAGTGGACTTGAATGAAGACTCGGGGGTTAACACCCTAGTCTTGTGGCCTACAATGCCATGGTATCTTTAACGACCAAGCTGTCAGAACTTTGGTTTAACGTGTCATCCAAAGAACAGCACCTCCTAGAGGCACAACGTTCCCTGATCACCACACTGGGGCAGTGCATTGGAAATTCTGCTCCAGAGGAAAGGGCGCCACCTACTGGTCCACCAACACCATTTGTTACAGTCTTGCCTTTCCTTGGTGGTCTCCCATCCCAGTACTGACCAGGCTGCTGAGAGCAGGGTACAGGGTGGTAACACTGCTGTCTGTATTTAAGCAAGTGAGACCAGTATCATACTTTAACTTTAACTGCTTAGACAGTAAATACTGCTGTTCCCGAATGCTTTATCTCAAGTCTTCCAGTTAATTGAGCACCTTAATTTTAGTTTTTTTGCTGTCCTTTTCTTAACAAAACACCGTCCCTTAAGTGCAGACCTGCAGTCCCGTCTGTCCATCGTTCTCATGCAGCTCACGGAAGGGCATGTTGCCAACAGCAAGGAGATCTGCTTTAATGGAACTGCGTTTCACACGAGATGTATCCACCCCCGCACTAGGGGGCGCTGTGTCGGCTCCAGGCTGGGTTAGGGACAGGTTAACAGTGCAGCACGACCCTCGTGCTCCTGGGAACGAGCTTCTGGTGAAACGCAGGCGGAGTGCTGGATGAGGATGGACGCAGAATGCCCTGCTGCCCCGGCCGGTAAACGCTGTTCCTCTCCCGCTCCCCCAGCGCCAGGGCCTCCAGGGAGGGCGGACGGGGAGGGCAGCTCGCCCCAGTGCATCTACGCCACGCCGCAGCCCAGCGGCCGAGCCCGGCTGCCCAGCTCCCCGCCCTTCCGCGCGGACGGACCCGAGCCCAACGGTGCCTCCCCTGCGCTCCTGGGGCCCCCCGCCCCCCACCCGCTGCCCAGGAAAGCTCTGGTACGGTCCGGCGCCGTTGACGTTGTGTCCGTTGCAGGTCCGCTGCGCTGGTGGCACGTGGGAGCAGAGGGAGAGTTTCCAGCTTGTCCGGATTTAAAGGCCTGAAAGCTACAACCTTTGAGCCTGATTGTGGGCATTGTGTGGCGAGATCACCTGCCGCATTCTGGAAAACTAAACTGGGAGATGGGGGAGCTTAATGAGGACTTGGGGGGTGGCAGGTTTTTAGGGCGCAGTGTCTGCCGAATTCAGTGGGCGTCGTCAGGGAGGAGAGGGGTCTCAGGGCTCGAGTGTGACCCGTGCAGGACTTGGCTCGGATCACTGTGTGATTTTTTTCGTGTGCTTCCTGGTGACGTAGTCGAAAGGCAGACACAAGGAGGAGGGTCTTGGTCCTGTCTGGCGCCGTGTAGCCTGTGTGTCGCTCCCGGCTTGCGCTGCTCTGTACGCGTGAGGCTCGGCAACCGAGACGCAGGAGATCGGGTGCGGCTGAGCCCCGAGCACTGCACGAGCACTGGGCCTGCTGGGGCCCGGTACCACAAGGCCGGTCGTGTGACGGGTCTTCGGCTCGGCTCATGGTGTGTGTGCGCACAAGAAACTGCCCACAGAAGACTTACTCACAGAAGTCTCTTGGTTAAGAGGGAGCAGTCTGTAGCGCTGCCTCGCTGTGACGCACAGAGGCCGATTCCGTCCGCCTCCCTCTCACTGCCTGTTTCCCAGCGGCCATTCCCTCCCGTCTTGTGCTGGTAGCTGCTGAAAAAAAAGTCTCCCCTTGTTGCTTCCTTCAATTCCCTTCTCCTCTTGTTTGTCCGGACTGGGCGGTTTCGCAGGCCAAGCCCAGGGTGCGAAGGGTGAAGGCCATCTACGACTGCGTGGCTGACCACCACGACGAGCTGACCTTCAGCGAGGGGGAGGTGCTGGTCGTCATGGCCGAGGAGGATGCCGACTGGTGGGTAGGTATTGTGCCCCAGGACACCGCCTGCGCAGGTGAGGCACTGCGGGCCGTGCCTCTCTGCAGTTTGCGTTTATCCTGCCGCTTGCAGGATATAAAGGCTTAAAGGAAAATCGGCTGCAGGGTGGCATTCTGGTCAACAGGGGGCAGCCTCCCCTTGCGGTCAGAGTTCAGCCTGTGTGTGGTTTCAGGTTTCCCTCTGGATTTCCTTCTCCGCCTCCTTTCCTGTCTGGATTCTTCATTAGCCGCCTTTGCATCTCAATTTTCTCCGGAGCACATTCCCTCCCTCGTTGTGCCGATACACATGGCGTCTTGCGAGGTCATCTTTCAGAAACAGGGGCTGGGAAGTAAAAACACGCGCAGTGTGTCTGGAATGCGTGAAGCGAGTGAACGAGCCGCTCCCCAGCTGGGATCCATTTGCGCCGTGACTCCAGATTCGCTGAGTCCTTTGCAAATTTCCGATTGCTCTCGCAAATTCCTTCCAGGTTCATGGAATATGTCCTGTTCCTAATTCCTTAATTCTCTCCTGTCTAGGAAAAACACTTTGGCCTTGGTTATTAAAAAACAAACAAACAGAATTCTCTTTTGAATCACGTTCAATCTAGGCATTACAGACATTACGAGCGCTTAATTGGTCATTTCCATAGATTTTCCGCCAAGGCAAGTTGTTGATTTCAGAAACTGAGACAGTACGAGGTTTCTGTCATTTTAGGAAAGAAAAACATTTCTTCTGTGGCTCAGTCAAAAAGGAACATTGCATCTGCCTTTAGGGTGTCTTAAACTGCCGTGTGGAAGGATGTGTGTGACATTTTAAACCTCGCTGTGGAGTGGGGTGAAGACCCTCACACCGTCGTCTTGTTGTTTCAGCTGGGCTACATCGAGGGACATCCGCACAAGAGGGGCCTGTTCCCCGCCTCTTTCGTTCACATCCTGTCGGAATAAAGGTGACCCGTGGAGCCGGCGAGCAGCCTGACTCCTGAGCCGCCCCCGGTCCAGCGCCTACACGGTACCTGCTCGTGCCCGGGAGACAGCCACAGTACCCACATCACTTGTTCTCCCATGGGGCTTCTTAGATGAAAAGGCATTAGACACAGAATCACACATCTCATCCACGAATACTAGGGGCTGTGGGAAAATGCCCCTGGAGATTCAGCAGTCCCAGGGTGAACGGTGCTGGTTGCAGGCGCTGCAGGACACGCTGGTGTGCTGTTGTGTTTTCCATGACTCCATGACTTCCTGTTGCACACGCCCCTTCGCTCCACCATGGGAAAATTGCCATTAGAAATTGGCGGGGGGGGGATTCAGCCCAAAGGCCCGGCTGGAAGCAGGGATTGTACCCTCGTCCCCGTGCCGCTGAGTGGAAGCTGGAGCTCGGGAGCGAGCGAGTCTGATGCAGTTCCACTGGGGGCTCGTCACGCTGGGCGCTGTTCATGCAAGCGCTACCGATTCAGCAGGCTGCTTCCCCGAAACACGAAGAGACAACGTCCTCACTTTTCCTGTGCGCAGAGCCCATGCACAGGCTGCAAGGAGAATCCCGTGTGCCTGTCCTGATGAAAAAGAGTTCCAGCTCCGCATTGTCCCTTCCGCCAAGACAATGGAAAGAACTATACATACAGGAAGAGACCTGAAGTGCAGCCCCTCTTGTAGGTTCTGTATGTGGTAAATGTATTCAATTAGCACGTACTCATTTTTAGATGAGGATAAAGCCGATAATAAGATGACAAGAGGGCCAGCATGGGCTGAGCACTGATGGATGAATGCATGAGGGAGAGGGGTTGAATTTTTGTCAGGATTTTTCTTTGAAGAAATGTGCCTGTGTGTGCGCTGACAGTCACCAGCGGCTGGTCCAGGCCGGCACTGTCTCTCGGCTGGCCAGCGCGCCGGTCAGTCGGCCTCTTGTCGAGAAAGAGGTGGGGGATGAGAGGATGGCGCTCAGGCTGTGCATCGCTCCTCAAGGCTCGATGGTTCACACCCGATGGCCCCACCAGAGTAGGAATGGTCTTGAACGGCTCCAGCCTGTCTGAACACACACAGCACCATTGCACCTGAAACCGAACTCTTAACAGCTCAGCCCGCACAGCGGAACGAGTGTGAGAAACTCAAGTCTAGAAGCGCGTCTTTGTGAGCCCTGAGCCGAGAGGGGTAGAAATTCAAAATGGGGTTTGCGATGTGTCCAGCCTGCAAAAACTGTTCCCTGTAAGGCTCTCTGAAGAACTGGATGTCGAGGAGGTGCTGCTCGTCAGTGGGTTTTTGTGGCACGGACCGCCTGAGTTGTCAGTGCTCGGCACAGACAAAGAGGCGCTTTTTGCAAGGTAGCGGCAGCAACACAGAAATCGTGACAGGTGCCCGCGATCTTGGGCCTCGTTTTTGTTTTGTTTTCCCCCGCTTGCGAGCGAGAGCTTCTTGACAATCAAATTTCCTGCCGCCGGATTCGATCAGCGCCGGGCTCCGCGTTGGGGCCCCCTCGCAAGGCGGCCTCTGCCGTGGACCGGAAGTGCATCGCCATGGCAGCCGGCGCTCCGAGTCCCGCCTGCAGGAAATGAGTCTGGGCGATAAGGGCCTGCCGTCTTTCGAGGGGGAGATGTTCAGCGGCCAGCGGCGCCCGGGTGCTTGTGAGCACTGTTGCCCAAAGGTGACATCCTGCAGCGATGTTGCAAGTAAACCTGGGTCCTCAAAAGTACACAATTCCCAGTCGGCCAAGGTTCGCACTGCTCTCCGGTTGTAGTGATGATCAAAGCACAAAGAACACAAAAAGCATCTGTGACACGGAACGTTTTCAGAAAGCATCTAAGCTTGCCTGAGAGAGAAAGCGTACCAAACATTTGAAATTGAAATCTCTTAATCGTCTCATTGTTCTGTTCCAACATCATGCCCCCCTCTGTACGTCGAGTCTGTGTGTTGTGAGTTGTGAAATGATCTCTAGTAGCTCCGAGACATTTTTTGGTCTCCTCTGGGTATTTAAAAAGATGCTGGCTGAAGATAAATACTTGAAATTTGTTACAGATGCCAGAGGGCACTTTGCCTTTTCCCCTGATGGGTTACTCAGTAACGATTCTTTTGTCCAACATACTCTACCTATTCCACTCCTATTTACAAACAATTATTTTTTTAAGTAATTGTAAATTATTCAGATGAGATTGAAGCTCTCTTTTGGTCCGTGTTTTATTGCTGTAACATTGACAAAGAGTATTAAGCTGGGAAGCTAGCTGTTGTATCATTGTTATTTTTCTATGACATGAGGGGGAGAACAGACCTATTTAAAAACAGCTTCTCATTTCTATTTTTTTTTTGCCTTAAATTATCTTTTCTGCCTTCGTTGTTATTTTTTTCTCTAATGTTATCTGCTGTTTTTGTCAGAAGAAATAAGTATTATCTACCTTTAACTTGTGCAATTTTACTTTTCATATTTATTTTTTTATTTTATAAACAATTTATATTTTACAAATTTGTTTTTAATGGTGGAATGCAGTTGTGAAAAAAATGTTTATTCTGTATGTGATATGGTATAACTGGTTTTATTCTATTATAATGAAGTTAAATAAACTCTTGCACCTATACTGACCCCTGCTTTGATTAGTTCCCTTGAGTCCACCCAACATTTCTTTATCATTAAATTAGTTAAAATTGTCATCTCAAACACAGAATACAGACAACACTTCAGAGCTCTCATTGTCAGCTAGAAACTTTTTTGTGTGTGCGTGGTATTGATATTAGAAATATGTTTGGGAGCTGCATCGGCATGTGTAGTCAGCGAAGGACCTGGTAACAGGTTTATTCCACGCTGAAAGGCAGGGTTTCGGCTGTGGAGCTTCTTTAGCTGTTTAACAGGTTAATTTTCTACAGCAGAGGCATGACGTCATCAGCTGACTTGTGGCTACCATAGGAAACAGGAGACAGCTTTTTGTTCTTGTTTAAAGCTCTGCAGTGGGTTAAATTAGCGGTTTCCTGTTGTGATCCTGAAGGGCTGACGTTCCTGTACATTTTCCAGCTCGGCTCTTAATGTTACCGTCTCAGCTCGACCGGTTTCACCCAGAAACCCTGTAGACACATCAGCCCCCCCCCCCCCAACAGCAGGACTGGGCACCCCTGAATTTGCTCACCTTTATGAGCCTTCTCCTCTGCCCTTACCACCTACAGTTTGAGCATGTTAGTATGGAGTTCAGTCTGGGTTCACGGAGGCCAGTGAGGCAGGTGTGCGGAAAGTGAATTTTGTATTCGCAGTAACCGGCTTCATACGGAAGTAAGCCTGTGCTAAAATGAAAGGGGACATGTCAACGCTCGTTTGCTGAAAGCCTTTGGCTCTTCTTCAGTATCTGTCGGTTTGAAGGGTTGATGTCTCAAGTCAGGCAGGCCCCTGGGAGATGCGGTTCGGAAACAGTCTTCAGGATTCTCTTAAATCCTGCCTTACTGTGCACGGGTTACTCTTTGGCAAGTGCAGATTGGGGATTTTGTTTGTTTGTGAAAAGTGTTGTGTGAATCACAGACACACGTGGGGGAGTGCGCTGTGGGGGTCCTGCAGCCTCCTGCGGGGTGCGGACCCAAGGGACCCACGCGCCCTCTGTCCAGTGCTGGGAACACAGTGGTGGGGCTGGGAAAGAAAGTTCTTCTTTCAAGGAACCAGCAGTGTGGCTTTAGCAAAGCAGTAGAGCACAGAATCTAACCTTTTTCACCGAAATAAACTTGCCTTCTACGGCTAAACAATTTTTACAAAGCTGCGAGTTAGTGAATAACCAGTGGAAATGGAGAATACCAGCACTTTGATACATTCAGGTAATAAATCTGGATCATATAATAAGGGTGTAGTGATATATTTCCTCTTCCAGAACACTACCTCTAGGTTGGGGAGGTACTACTCCTGCTTCAAAGGAAATGTTGACATTTTGACCCTGGGACTTATAAAGGGAACAGGCACAGAGGTTTCCAAGAAAAAGGCAGAAACCCACATGGCGTTTTTAGGGATGGCACTGCCTTGCTCCCAGACAACCAAACAGCTGGACAGTCTGTGCGTCTCGTTCTCACAACCGGGATAGGGCGCTCCCATGCTGAAGCACGCAATATTATTTTACCTGCTGTAGCTCAATCTCCTGCTGCAGTAACGCATGTGAAAGAGGGACAAGTGTGAAAGCGACCCCTGCAGGACCAGAGCCGAGGGGCGTCTAGGCAAAGGAAGGAAAACGAGGGCTGATGGACAGAGGGAACGCACGTGTTTGTAATGCTGGTGGGCCTCAGCGCTGCCTTCGCCTACCTCTGACTCTGCGATTCGTCCCAGAGCACGGACGACCTGCTCCAAGTTCCCAGGCAAGAGCCGATGATTTTGCACGCACAAAAAAACACACACACACACACAGCGCACGCTGGGGTTTTGTCCAAGATTTATTCTCTTTCATCAGAAGAGGCCTCGGCTGCTCTCGAACGCCGCAGCGAGGAGACCCGGGTCTGGGACCACACTGCAGCCCCACGCCGGTGGTCCGCCCTCCCCCAGGCTGCTCAAGACCCTTCTTCCTCCCGTGTCGTGCGACATAAGGCTTGTGGGTGTGGCGGACCAGTAACAAAAGTGATTTTTTAAAAAAAAAGTCCATACCTATAAAAACAAGTGACTCGGCAAAAACGTGCGTTTTTTTTGTTTTGTTTTCGCCTGCAGTCCTTTCTGAAGGTCCAGCTCCTCGGGTCCTTCCATTCTTCAGCCGGGGGCTGCCCTGCTTTCTGGACCTTCTGCACGAGCATGCTTAAAAAAAAAAAATCCTTTAAGAAAAATTAAAATCCCAAAGAGGGTTCTCTTTCCCCCTCTTGATGAGGTGCTGTCTTGTGACTCGTTGCTCTCTCTCATCACCGCCTCGTCTGTTTCACAGAGGTACTGGTGCGTGGCGTTCCAAAACCCTGGGGGTTGTTTTTATTTGCAGTTCCTACCCTCGTCACCTGTGCAGCTTGATTTTCCCCTCCGAGTGCAGCTTTAGTATGATGTGGGTTTCGAAATCGGCGTTGTGGACCCCCGTTTTCCGAAAGGCTCCGGCGTATTTGTTATCCTCCCAGTAATGGTGCCAGTTGCCCTGGGGGTCAGCCCCATAGCCGAATACAGACACCTGGAGAGGACAGAGAGAGCGTTAGCCATGGCCAGTGGCTTCGGAGGAGGGCAGAGGGGTTCATCTGCCGCGTGAGTGTCTACATTGGGACACTTATTAGCACTGTCCTCTCGGGACATGGCCTGTACAACAGGCGACACTCACACAACCCGCACGGTACATGACAGAACAGTAGATCATAAATAGTTCAGGTGGGGAGCTGCGTCGGCATGCTTAGGCTGCAAAGGAACAAGTAAAAGGTTTATTCCAGGCTGAAAAAAAAGAAGAAAGAAAACACAACGTTTCGGCCGTGGAGCCGTCTTCAGGTGTCACCTGACCACCTGACACCTGAAGAAGGCTCCACGGCCGAAACGTTTTCTTTCTTCTTTTTATCAGCCTGGAATAAACCTTTTACTTGTTCCTTGATAATAAATATGGCGCTCGCAGCCACCCATCGTGCACAAAATAGCACGACAACATGCAGTGGGCAGTGGAACAAGAGCAAGAAACACCCAGGACAGTAGACACGGGGCAGCCAGGTAAACAGTGCAGAGCACAGAGCTGTGCCGAGTTCTGCGGCATTGCACGGATAGCGATGATGTGAGTTTATGATGTGTTTGTGATGATGGTTTATGATGGGTGCTGCTGTAGGGTAGAAGCTCTCCTTCAGCCTAGTGGTGCGGTACCGTTTGCCAGAGCACAGGCGGGAGAACACTTTGTGGCCGGGATGGCTGGGATTCTGAATAACGGATCGGGCTTTATCGCAACAGCGTGGATCTTGCCGATTGATGGCAAGTCAGTTCCTATAATCCTCTGTGTCGTTTACACAGCCCTTTGTAGAGCGTCTTTGTCCTGTATGGTAGAACCGTCGCACCATACTGTACAGTGATATTTCAAAGGGATACCTGGCGCACAGTTACAGAGGTGCACACTGACCATACACTCCAGGTGTTGTGACATGCCAGGGAGCAGCTGATTGGCACGCCCACAATGGGGTGCTCACCGCAGCATGCACTATTATTTTCCAATAGTTGCAACTAAATCTCCTGCTGCAGTAACGCATGTGAAAGAGGGGAAAGTGTGAGAGTGACCCCTGTAGGACCGGAGCAGAGGGGCGTCTAGGCAAAGGAAGGAAAACGAGAGCTGACGGACAGAGGGAATGCGCGTGTTTGTAATGCTGGTGGGCCCGAGTCTCGTCGCTGGCTCCCTGATCATCTGCCTGCAAGATTTCAGAGGTTGCAGCAGCAAAGTCTTTGCGATTCAAACATGGACTGTGAGCATAAGGCAGGGATGGCCCCAATCCAGCATTTATAATGAGACTTGGAACGCGGTTTTTGTTTTCATCAATTTAGGAATTTTACCGGCTGAACGAATTCGGCAATGGCCAGGAAGGAGAGCTACAGGGCATTGGGATGTGCGTTTCACTTCGCCTCGTCGAACAACCCGCCTGCTTCAGGGTTAAAAAAAACTTTCTTCCAGGTGTTGAGAAATTGTTGATTAAAGACCAGAGTTGGCCACCCACCTCTATAAAAAAGAACCTGCTGTATTGTGGAAAAGCCAGTCTGAATTGTTTTGGGCTTCTTTGATAAGGCAAAAGCATTTTCAGTGTTGCTACAGCGGACAGAAAAGGCCATGATGAGCAGCCAGCCTGGAACTGGGGACGCGGGCCGGGGCGGGACACTCACCTCGTCACAGATGTGCAGAGCGAAAATTATAGCCAGCATGCCCGTGGAAGGATACCGCCCGTGATGCTCTGTCCAGCTGTCGTGGGTGTATTTAAAGAAGGCCGGGTTCACCACAATCACCTGCAGAAACATGGACGAGGACAGCCAGTGATGGGTTTGTACAAAAGTGCCCCTGCAGGGTCCGAGAGGCCTCTAAGCCCAGAAGGCAGGGGTGTGACCCTCATGGCCCGCGGGCCCATCTGGTGGCCCGTATGGCAGCTGGAATCAGAGCCATTGGCCTGTATTCCAGTGGACAACTGGCGCAGGTCTCTGAGAGGACAAGTTAACAAAAGGGGACATGGAAGACGCTTTGCAGTTCACCCTTGAGGTTGATGTGGCTTAGAGACGGGTAGCCGACACCATCACACTGGGGCACTGTGATGGGATAGCAGTGGAGAGCCACGGGGCCACAGTGAATGTTGACGAGAGTTAACTCTCTCCAGCGGTGGTCAGTGGCAGCACTGAATCAACTGTTACAGCTCCAGCATCAATGGGATGCTTGGGGGGACCGTTACAGAAACACACACTGATCCAATTCCAGCTGGGCTTTGTCTGAGCCTGAACAGCACACAAAGCATGAGCCCTGGGGACATTACTCCCTGTGGCTCTCTACTGCTCCTCAATCACTGTTACCCGTCTCGCCATGTCAGAGCCGGGTCTTGGCACAGACGGGCTGGGAACGAAACACACTTGATTTGAATCTGGCCTGCCACAGCAGGTGGGTTTTCAGGACACCACTGACACGCGTTTTCTACCCGCTTTCTTCTCAATTAAACCACACCCAGTTCGTTTAATTTCCTCTCTTCCTTCTTTGTCCTCTCCGAGACCTGTGTCAGCTGTCCACCGCCCACCTGACCTACTGACCGATTAGTACGAGCAACTTCAAAAGGCATCTCTCACCTTGTCCTTATCGGCTTGAACCCGCTCTTTGACTCTCATGTAAGTTCTAGGAAGAAAACAAAACAAGTGTCAGTTTTACCTAGGCCTATCCATTTTCTGTCCACACTATCCAGTTCAGGGTCGGGGGGGGGGGGGGGGAGCCTGTCCCAGCAAGAATTGGGCGTAAGGTGGGATACACCCTGGATGGGACACCAGTCCATCACAGGGCACACACAGACACTCACACCAGGGCCAGTTTTCCCAGAAGTGAATCAACCCGCCATGTCTTTGGACTGCGGGAGGAAACCCACGCGAACACAGGGAGAACATGCAAACTCCACACAGACAGTACCCCTGGAATTGAACCCAGGGCCCCAGCGCTGCTGACCACTGCATCGCCCCTGCTGTTCTGTGCTGCCTTAGCCTCTCTTTGACCCACGAGTGCGGAACAGCAGCTCAGCCGAGCGCCCTGGGTTCAGACGCGGCTGTCGAGGTGCCCCGGACGTACGTTTTGATCTCCCCGGTGGACAGCGCGCTGGCCAGCCACTGCAGGTCCCGCAGCTTGAAGGGCAGCAGGACCAGCCACACCCCCGGGGGCAGGTCCACCGCGCTCTCGGGGTACATGAAGTGGTGCGTGGTCCTGTTCCCCACGTCGGCCTCGAACCCCAGCGTGGTCGCCTTGTTCATCCTGCCAGACGCCGGGAAAAACAGATGAGTCCTCCGCCCGGATCAGCGTGCGCTACCTTCCCCTCACCCCTGTTTCAGCTGGAGTGCAGGTGGGTGTTTCAAGTGCTTTCAGAGCCCTACGACCGTCGGAGTCAAGGGGTTTCGACCGAGTGTGTTTTCTCTCCTTCTAAGAGCAGGTTGCAGGGGCGGTGGGACTAGGGGTGTTAATTTTGTTTTGTTTGATTACAGTTTTCTTTGATGTGCAGAAATGGAAATGTACAGAAAAACTGGTCTACTTTGACAAAATCACACATGCAGCAGCGGATGTAAGCAGGTTGTTTTTGCAGAAGTGTCTCAATTTCTTTGCACACATGTCAAATGAATAGTGGGTGACAGTTTGTCTAGTTAGCTTTCTGTAAACTGTTTTCTGTAAAGAGGAAATAAGCTGCCCTGCGGTGGTAGTTTAGCAACGGAAAAAAATATTTAAAATGGGTATAAGAGATTTTTTTCTTTTCAACATAAGTTTTAAATACGTCATTTACCTATATAGAAACACTGAAAACTGCCAGATTTTCAGAGAGCTATTTCTTTTCTCCTGTGTTTTGAGAGATGAAAAGGCTTTCTTTAGAAATTGAAATAAACTCTTTCTTTTGACTTTTCACTTGATTTTTACATTACTCACAATTGGCTGTGGATCCCTTATTCCCAGTCAGAGACATCCGTTACTGTATGTATCTGCTGTTGGTATCTTAACCATTGTATTCCAGGAGATAAATAATTATTGTACTGTGTCACTAACGTATTCAGAAACTAGTGGTGCAACTCTTGCGACAGTCTCTCTGGACAGGCTGTACGCAGGGACTGGAGAGTTGCCCATCCACAGGAAGGGTGACAAAACTGAACTGAGTAGTTACAGACCAGCAAGTCTGACTTCTTTTAATGCAAAGTTATGGAAACAATTATTAGAACTAACGATAACCGACTTCTTTTTTGAAAAAGCACGCTACAGTAATGGACACACACAGGGCATAGGCTCCAGATTGACAGAAAACGTTTTGGTTTTTTCTCATTAAAAAATGAGTCCTGAAATAGCGAGCCTCAGCCAAGTTGTCACAGTGCTCCGTGTCTGCTTACTGTAGAGGCTGCTGTGGCTGGCAAGAGCACAGGCCTTCTGGAAACAGATTCAGGCCACTGTGTCGGACACTCAGGGCAACTCAACCTGCTCAGCGCACAGAAGCTCGGCGCCTCCTGTTTCAAAGGGCAGTCCCTTGCCCAAGGGAGCTTGAATGGGAGTCCTGGGGGATCTTCTCTTGTATTGTGAGACCCGATATGCTGAAGATAACCCAGCTGGTTCGAGCCCTGAGGTATACCACCAGGTATTTTGGGGAATCCGCAAGCCAAACAGCTAATGAGCAAGCTCAGGCTCAAAGCGCTGATATCTGGAATGCACCCTAGTTGGCCAAGACACCTGGACTCTCCGGATTAAAAAACGAACTGGTGCTTTTAAAACTAGCATTGGTCCACTAAGAATCCCGGCACTGGAATCCCGTCTGAGCTGAGCTGTTGGCTTTTCTTTGGCCCAGAAGCTTCAATTGCTTGCCGAAGAAAAGAAAAGGCAAACGTTTGATTGAACTCCTCTATGTCGCGGGCTCCCAGCTTTCATACAGCCCCGACGTCTCGTTAATGCATAATTAAAGATAATCGCGCAATGCATAATGAATTGATCGTCTAGAAAAGAGAAAGCTGTAGGCACCTAAATAGCCGAGCAGAGGTTGCAGACGAGGCCTTCAGCGGGGTCCAGTCATACCCACCTGATCACAGCGTCATGGGAGTCTACCAGGGGCCCATTGTGGGAGCCCCGGAGGTTTCCCGAGTTCCCCACCACTGCACACCTCCTGCAGCGGGCCGGCACAGCGGGCTTGTGCGGCGGCGGCTCGGAGACCACCTGGAACATCTTCTGGATCACCTGGTAGGGCTCCTGCGCGTCCGAGGACCGCTGCAAAGCCTGGTGGGGAGGAAACGAGACGCGCCGCTCATGCCAGCTGCCGAATCGCGCTTCCCACCGTTCGGCTGAACGCGCCTTTTTTGGAAGGGACCGGCGGACGTGGCCCAAGGGCAGGACGCTCTCTTCATGAGGTTTGGATCGCGTCCCGACCCGGAACGGTAGGAGTCGCCCAGCGTTTTCTGTCGTCCCCGGGAGGGGGTTATGAAAAGTGTTTCAGAAAGTGCGCTCTGATTCTGTGCTGGCTGTGTCTGGGCTTGGTCCTGGCAGGACTGAAAATAATTCCATTAAGACACAAGCTTGCTGAAGCACGTGCCGGATCCCAGCGAAAGTGAAATGCAAAAGCTGAAAGGACCTTAGATCAGCAATGCTTGACTTCGTGCTTCCTTGCAATATCTACCAAGAGCCTTACCAGGATGCTTCACCTTGATTCGATCTCTAGGTGAAGGTGGAGGTGCTCAGGGGACACACGAAACCCAGGTCCTGACTGCTTTAAACTTCCCATGGCACTGCTCCTAAGAGTGGATGTTAAACTCCCCTTGTGCTGTCTGGCCTCCCTAAAGCTCCCCCTTAATTCAACAGGTGCTCCTGCCCTGGGTCTGCAGCACAGTGGAGCCGCTGTGCGTCACCCAGCTGGGGGCCACACTTCAGCGGGGGGATGCAATGGGTCCCCTCTGATATGTTAAGCTCCTTCTTACAATAACAATTAACCAGTTTAAGACGGGGGCTGCCAATACCTTTTCACTGCCGAGTTTGACTCTGTGGGTCAAGCATGTTCAAGCACACACACCGGCGAGTTAACAACCCCCTGTGCCTTCATGGCCACGCGCCGCAGGCCCCCCCCGGGCACAGCGACACTGACGTCACCCCCCCCCCGCCCCCGGCTCTCTTACCAGCCACCACTGCAGCGCACTGGGAGGGACGCTGCCGTTCTGGGCCGCGAGGAAGGGCAGCTGCCGGGCGTCGAAGCGCTGGTCGAACCACGGCGAGCGCCCCCGCTCCGAGACGCAGGAGGGGCAGCCGCACGGGGCGCCGGGGGGCCTGCTCCGGGCCGGCGGCGCGCGCGTCTGGTTCCTCGCCTGGCCCCTCGCCGCGGGGGCCAGGCGCTGGAGGCCTGGCGTCCACTTCTGTCTGCCGTGAGTGACCAGCATGAGGAACAGCGCCCCACACAGGAGCGCGCACAGGCACGCCTTCCTTCGGCAGTTCATGAGGCAGTGGAGGGCGGGCCGGGGGCAGTCGGAGCTTCACAATGTTCAGTAGTAACAAAGGGGTCAGGGGTGACCATCCGGCACCCCGCAGAGCTTCAAGCTTGCAGGATTTTCAGTCTTTAAAAAAATAAATAAACAGCAGGCGATTCCCGTGACCTGAGCTTCTCTTTAAAGGCAAAAACTCCAGTCAGCCTCCCTGTAGTCCAACAAGGCAACATCCTGTCCTGCCAGGACTCTCTGCAGCTCAGACATTAAAAACCACAGTGAAGAGCCGGGGGAGACAGTGGGCCACGTACTGAGAGATCTAGCAGGGCTCCTCCGCCGTGTGGCTCAGTCTGCCGCCATCCCCCTGTCCAGGAGCCCCTCGTTAGCGCCGCGCGTCACTCCGGGGCGCCACCAGCATCCGTGCCCCTGAGCCATTCGAAAACAGAAGCACGCTGTGAGTCACGCGGGAGTACAGACTCAACTCCCCCTGCCCCCCGGTGCCACTCCGCTAATATCGGTCAGCCAGGAAACGTGGAAGAGCTGCAGGGAACAAAACAAAAACTGAACACAAGACTAGAGCACTGACCGGTCACAAATTCGGAGAAAAGAGAAGAACGACAGCTTTGTGCGAGTGTAGTGTCGGCGCACCCTCTGTGCAGGTGGCCTGAGCTCGATTCTCACGGGGTAAATGATGCTTTCGAGAGCTGGAATTGCGGACCAGGATATCAGCGGGTCTGAAGCGTCAACGTTTTTTTTAATGGGAACATTCTTCAGCTGTGAAACGTTCACAAAGCAGAGCTGAAGCAAACCCCCTCCTTCACAGCGTGGTTTTGCCTCCTTCCAGTGCTTTCATGAAAGATGTGGAAGACAGCAGCCCTGGGGTTCAGGGAACAAACCTGGATCTGCCCTGTGTCTGCTGGATTCCCCAGGTACCTCGTTCATTGCAATGCAGCCTAACAGGTGGTGCAAGGTCCCGTTGGGACATATTCTTTTCTTTTCCAGATATCGGCACTTGTTCCTCCTCGTTAAAGCATTTTGTGAAGAGCCAGAGACTCATGCATTTCCACATACCCTTCCGGTGGCTCTGACTGCACGGACACAAACCTGGAGGACCGCTCGGAAATGCCCAGCGCTTCTCCTTCACTGGAAGGCTCAGGCCTCCTGGAAGCAGCCCAGCTTGCAGCCTGCTTGCTCAGCGCAAGGGGATCTCTAGCATGCCCGAGCAACTCCAGCCTCCCTTCCCTGGGACGAGCAGCGGAATGCCGTGATCAGGCTCCGGGAATTCTGAGGCAGGGACTTGGGAGAGGCGGTGGCCGTTGCTGGGGAGGTAGGGGAGCGAGGTCGGCGAGGTCAGCCGGGGAGAATTCCATGGAATCAGCTGACTTTCAGCTGATCCAGACATCGGAGCTGCTGATCAGGAGAGGGCTCTCTGCTCCTTCGCTGCCAGAGCCGGAGAGCCGCCAGACTGCAGCCGAGCTGATCTGCGCTTCTCCCTTGCTGAGTGCATTCATTACTCATTCAGCAGAAAGCTTTCCGGCTTGCCCTCAACATCCCTATTGATTAAAAATCAGCAGTATAGAAATAAGGGGGAGCCTGGGGAACGGGCAATTCACGAAGCCTTAGTGCATCCGTGAGCATCCGGGACGCCCAGGCATTGACCAGTCGGAACAATCCGATTGTCTTGCACTAAAGTTTGGTAAACATTGTGAGGAAATTGCTAGCAGTCTTTCACAGAGCTGAATCTGCACGCTTGATCTATACGGCAATAGATAAAGCCCACCCGCTGCGAAAGAGAAGCCAACTCTGTGTGTCAGCATCTGGCGGGGTGTATTTTTGCCTGCAGAGCAATGGCTGCTGTGAGACAAGATGCAGCTTTAATGCGATCAATGATGGCAGCGTATGGATCCTTTCTGGCTCTTTCATTAACCGGTCAATGTGACAAAGGCTGAGCTGCCCATAGGAGCTCTGTCAGTCACGTAGAACCAAATGAAGAAACCACAAACTGTGAAAACCTCTCTGTATCGCATCTGAACCGGAACAGAATTTCAAGGGCATGTGACGTGTGCGTAGTGAAACTTCTCCTTTTTAAACAAAACTGAAGGATTTGCATGGGCCTCTGGTTCCACTTCCCCCAGAAACTCTAGTGTTTGTTTCCCAGCAGCTGATAAAAAGTCGCATGTTACTGTAAAAGATGAGATAAACCCTGATGCAAAAGATGTTCCACTTCAAAAACAAATTAAATCACACATTGAAATAGGGGGAAATAAGGAAGGTTTTACAAAAACGTATGAACTTAATTGCTGAATATATCGAGAGATACATTTCGATTATTTTTGAACAGTTGGTTTAAGCTCCTCTTCCCACTTCTGGCTCAGAACATAGGAACGGTTTCAAGACAGGCCAGTGGGCCTATGTAGTCCGTTGGTAGTTAGGAGTTAATCGATCCAAGGATCTCATCCATACTTTTCCCGGTTGACGTCAAAGTATCAGCTTTAACCACTAGCTTGCTCTTGCTGGCTAGGTGGTTCCCTACTCCCACAACCCTTAGCGTAACAATGTGACTCCTAGTTTCCACTTCCACATTTCCGTTTGTGTCCTCTGGGCCATGCGGTCCGTTTGGGTTGGCCCTGGACTTGACTCACGTTTTTAGGCACCCAAAAGAAATAGTTGCTCCCGGGGCTATCCTCAAAGTCGCCTTTTTGACGCAAAGTTGGCTGGTCAAACGTACGTGTGGGACCACAGTCAGCCTCGTGCCATCTGTCAGTTTCATCACTTGTGCGAACTCACTGATAACATGATAACACGCTGCTCCCAAACTGATAGAACTCACAGAGCAAACTGGAAACACAGCAACAACTGACAAACTCGCGATGAAGTAGACCCTCGACTGCCTTTCTTATCGTGTTGTCTTTTAGCAATAGTTAGCCCTTACAGAATTGTACAGGTCCTCTCTCTGATTCTCAGAATGCCAGCTGTCCGAGCAGTATTTACAAATTTATGTCACATGCTTACATTCCCAAACAGCAGAGGGATTAAATGTGTGCTGATCTTTCTTTCCCAAGCATAAACACACTGGGGCCGCCTCGAATCCGAAAAGTGAGCAGGGATCTTAATAAACGCTCCGCTGAAAGTAAACTTTTGAACCGCACTGTCTCATTGTTTCCTCGTCTCTCGTTTCCCCGAGAACTGTTCTAGTTAAATACAGGGGATATCTCTGCAATTAAAAACGGCTTTCCAGCCTCCTGTATTCAACCCAGTGCTCAGCGTATAATAAGACAAGTTATAAACGAGAGGAGACCATTCCAGCCTGTTTGGAAGTTAGTAATTGATCCAGAGATCTTTTTTTTTTCTTGAAATACATTTGCATTTGCTGTTAACGGGTATTGTGTACGTGGCTTCTGCGCGCTGTATTAATCAAAAAAAGACAATTGTTGCCTAAGAGGAAATTGATTAAGTGCGGCTGAACTGAATTCTTCTCCTTAAGTTATTATTCTGTTCTGAAAGGGGAAAACCACGGAAGAAAGGCATTTTTTTGTTTTGTTTTCCTCTTGAAGAAGCTCCTTTCAGGGAGACTTTAAAACGGGGGGAGTCGTGAGCACGGCGGTGTTTTTGAAGACACTCGGGTCATTAAAATGCGCACATCTTAGAAACGTAAACATTTCCACTTGTAAAAGGCGCCAGGCAGGTGTGAGAGGGCAGAACTAATTAAAAAGAGGCGACCTCCCCCACTCTCCCTTTCAATAGAAGTTACAAAGTATGTCACTGATGTCCCCAAACTCCACCTAGTTTTGTTTGAGTAAAATCAGATACATTTTTATCTTCTCGGGCTACCGATTCTCATTGTGGGCTGCCCATCAAAACAGAGAAAACACACTTTCTTGCACCTCTTGCTTCATAACTTTGTAACTAGGCGGAGTGCGCAGGTACTAAACGCAGCATAAAAGTTTAATATTGCAGTGTACGGGAGACGTTTCCGAGCTGTAGCTACAATCTGAATAACAAAAGAAAAATGTTTCGACCTACACAGAGTGCGTAAATTATTTACCGAATCGAGATCTGTCTCTATTCATTATAGAGGGCACTGAAATTGAAAGCACTGCGGTAACAGTTTGCAACATTTGCAATAAGATGAGGAACAATATAGTTCCCTTGCGTATACAGCAAAATATGGTGGGATTTCGGTAAACACGAAACCCATAAAACAATCCACAGTAGACTACCAGATTTATTTTAAATTACACGTGCTCTACTGTATTTACTTAGTGCTTCTTTTTTTTATTTCTCCTTTGTATAACTCCTATGCACGTTTTCTAAGGTAGGCTTAAAAATACATATTCGCGAGTCCGCCGGGCAAGCTCCGAAGAGTTCGACAGCGACGGGGCCTTTTCGCTTCGCTGTTTAATCGTCCCGTCGCCTTCCTGTTGCGGGGAACTCTTAAAATACTACCAGAGAGCCCCTAATTCTACATGTTGTACGCCTCCTAAAATTCGACCCTAAGTTACTGGTCTCGGACAAATTGTTTTGTTACACACACACGTATATACGTGCACATAAAATGCACCGTGTTTTATAAGCATGCCTAAGCTCTCCGCTCCCTTGACAGCCGCTAAAAGACCGACCCGTTTCGCGGAGCAGAAGCACAAACCGTGCAGTACTTACAGAGGGGAAGGAGGCGAGGCGCCGCGCGGCTGAAACTGCAAAGTTTGAGCGCGCGGCGGGCGCTGTAACGGTACAGCGAGGAGGTGCCGCGCGCTGGTCCCCGTGCGCAGGGCTCCCCGCCTCCTCCCAGCCCCACAGCGCGCTTGAGGGGACCCCCACCGGGCTCCGTCTACTGCGACACCCCCCGGGTGAGCAATCAACAGCCCTCTGGAAAAACGCCTCTGCTGCTTTGACTACGTTCCTCCCCGTTTTGGGTGCAAAGCGTGTCTTGAGTGAATTCTTGTACTGGATGCTGGTTGGTTTGTTCTGGTTTGGGTTTTTTTTTTACCGAGGGAGGCTGTCCTTGTGAAAGTAACGTTATCTCTTTTTTATCTGTTCGGTCTTTGTGTGTGTGTCACCTCAAGCCTTTGGGAAGTCAATTTATAGGCTTGTTGGCGTTTCTTTCGCTTCTGGGCCAGCGGGGGAGTGCCGAACCGCCCGATCCGGCCATGTGCAAGGGACGCGGCCCAAAAGCCGTGCCTTCCCCCCCAGGCGTCCTTGCCGTCCGATATTTTCGTTCCTGTCGGCCTTGGGTTCTCGCCACAAAAAAAATAAAAGAGTCACGCGTCATATGTGGGCAATTCTCAGGAGCCCCGCGAGCAATCGCTTGAGAATGCGCAGGAGGGGAGGACAGAGTCTGCACCGGCAGGGTGTGAGTTCTATCGCTGACCAACAGGCTCTCATCCTTATGCCCTGTTCGCAGATGTAGGACAAGGAGGTCTCTCGGGGGAGCAGATACTGAAGAGCGGGCACGCTTCGTCCGGCTGATGGCTCGCACTTGCATACAGCCTGGTAATGCAAGGTAAGAGCCATCAATTGCTCAAGGTGCCGTACCTGCGATCCGAACATGAACCAGTTCCCAGCCCAGGACCTTAACCACTGCTGACTCTCTGCATCAGCAGAGGCCCTGCCTTCCAGCTCCTTGTTAGACTCGTGGAAATACTCCGCTGGGCTCTTCCAGCCCACATTTTTTGTCAATCATTTTTCAAGCGGAGAGGGGCATGGATTGGGGCTTTTCCTGCGTCTGGAGCACTCGGTTTCAGGGAAGTGCTGTTATCCGCCCAGAAGTGAGTTTAGAAATGCTGGCAGGGGTTCGCAATGTGAAGTTTTCCTTGCGCTGGCCTCTCTCTCGAAATCTGTTCTGCTTTTACTATCAGTGCCGGTCTCTTCCGGTTCACAAAACCATGCCTGTTTTTGCTTCTTTCACGAGATATCTCATTCAGGGTATCTTTCTCAGGCTGTCTTTAAAAGTACAGTGTGTATACTACTTTAACAGCATCTCAGTTTCTCCCCCATCGCCAATAACTACTGTAAACCTTCATCAGCAGAGGCTCAGATAAGAAGCCAGCCCCAGGCCATCATGGAGCCAGGTTCACTTTGCTTATCTGCCCAGGGCAGACTGCCTGCATGCTAATATCAGACCAGCACCGAGCCTCAAAGTAAATTCGCATTCGTTCATTTTTATCACCATCACTATCTTTTCTCGACATCACTCTGTAACATCCTTTCTTCCTAAAGACACGGATCTAAATGCAGTTTTATTTTTTTCTAAAAAAGATACAGATGGAAAACTAACCAGAACACATCGTCTTTTGTTCAGGAAACAGGCCATTCGGGGATGCCAAAAGTGATATTGAAAAGCAGGTCACCCATCACAACCAGTGACAGCTTACAGGCATTGTTGATGCTTGACAATGAAAAGTGCAGTTTGACCCATGTCTGGCCTCTGGTCTCATTTCCCCTCCCAATCTTCACTTTTAGAAAGAGGCATTAATTCATTGTGTTACTTGTGGCTGAGACACGCACTCAGTCCCAGATTTCCCATGAGGCACTGTAGGCACAGAGCCTAGGGCTCACTAACCAACAGGGGGCTTTTGCAGGCCCATGAAACACGATCCCACATGCTAAGGGGGAAACAAGGCATTTACAGCCCCATTCAGACACAAGAAGCATGCAGCTATCATCTGACAGTCTTCCTGTTCCTTCTTAAAACTCTGAAGTCATAAGACCATGTAGCCCCTGAATGAGGGAAGAGACACGGCCTTGTCTGTCGCATACTGCTTGTGCACGGACTACGTTGTGCAGAACAGTGAGCTCCGTGCTCGGCTCAGTCTCCCATTCGGCTGCTGTCAGGACTGTGCTTTTCCTTCAGCTCCGACTTCGAACCCCCACACAAGCCATCAAGTGAGCAAACAGCTGCTGAATCCCAAACAGCGTCCATAAGAAAAAGTGAGGAAAATGGTGAGTTGTTGTTTTCTAACTGTACTTTGTATTATATTCCTTTCTCTGAAAATGTTGTTTATATCGAATTTAGGCGGAACATTCTGATTCCGACTGTAGAGCCCAATGCTTTTGTAGCCGTTATGTGATCTAGGTGAGTCTGGGCTGATTCGTTCAGACTGAGAGCACTTCCTGTGCAGCTGTGAGTGATCTGAAAAAGTTCTGTCGGCCTCCTGCTGCCGGCTGTGGGTCGGGCTTGGACTGGGAAGGAGACACATCATCAGGGTGGAGGGGCTCAGAAAGGGAACCACAGTGGTTTTTGTCCCTGAAGGGCTGCACACTCGTGCTCAGCACGGCTTCCTCCAGCGCAGGCGAGCTACCACCCCTGTCTTCACTGTCCCAGTTACATCAGTTTAAAAGGCTTAGCTTAGGTCAATTTAAGAACGGTGTACTTTTTGCATAAATCTGCACGACTGTGACATTTGTCTTGCACAGAGGAAGTCAGCTGGAGTGCAGCCAAAATGAAAACAGGATGAAAACCTTGGATCAATTCTCCACAAGCTGCTGAATGGGCAAATGACTTCCTTTCCCTTGTAGCTGTTGTTCTGATACAGAATCTCAAATACAGAGAAATGTCGTGATGCCTTCCTCCCCGCTAATCTAAACTGCCGTCGCTAAATGCTCTATTGACTCAAAGGCTGCTTTGACTCTGATTCAAGATCTGAAAAAAAGCAAGCTGACATTGGCAGGACTGAGCTAGTCTCCTGGGAGGATGCTGGATCCGGAATATCTGACCTTACCAGCACAGCGCCAGTGAGCGCTGGGAGTCTTTCTCCCCTGTCTGAGCATGGGAAAGATGACGGCATCTCCTTACACCCACTGCAGGGATGATGAAGTGTGTCCGTGCACTCCCAAAAATAACAAACTGTAGCTGCCAGCTACAGTACATTGTGTGGTGTGTGCTCTGCCTTCTCGGAAAACAATTTGATTTGTTTGAATAGGTCGGGCTCCGTTTTCCTTTTCGGAAGAACGTTCCATTTGCTAAGGCATTCCTTGATAGCGGCAGTAATCGCCACAAAGCACTGCTGTTCATCGCTGGGGAACAGCTGTAAGTCATTGTCTGTGTGTGGCCGTCCTACTGCACTAATTACCCTGGTGGCTGTCTTTATGAGCCAACGCAACAAACTTTATCTCCGGCCTGCTCCACCACTGTTCACTCCTCAGGGCTCAGCAGAGATCAGTGTTGATGGCACACGGGGCGCTCAGGCTGGGACTGTCGGGGGGGGGTTGGCACGCCTGCTTGTAGGTATGAGCTACACTTGCTGAAGCAGCATCTCAGAGCGTTGGCAGGGTAGACGTTATGGGCAAAGGAGCTTAATGGACTCTCTGTTGTACTCCATCTGCTTGCAGCAGTACTTATATTCCTAAGATCAAGCAGATGACGCTGCTGTTTATATTCTTGAGATCAAGCAGATCTTGCTGCTTACTCTTGACACTTACTGTGACTGTGGCTGTTTCTCTGTGGTGGAAAGACCTATTTCTGCTTCAAAGTTAGAAGCAGTGGAAAGTCCCTCCCCCCCATCATCAGCGTGGCACAACTTCACTTTTAACAGTGTAGCAGCCAAGGCCACTAACAATTGATGTAATTTATGGGAAGGTAAATTAGAAGTTTCTTCAGCAGTGTGCTTTCTAGCACAGTTCCCAGGATTCATTCACAGATACTGTAGACAGGACCCTTTGTAATAGTCCGTCCACTGCACAGGAAAGTTTGGTGGGCAGCTGTCAGAAAGGCCAGTGAGAGAGGTGTCCCTGTGTCTGGACGGAGCAGATAGACCAGGGGGACAAAGTAGAGTTCAATCAACCAGTTTTCTTTCACAAAAAACACACAAGCCAGTGTCAGCGGGACAGTGGGTTCCCAAAATCACCCTGGGAAGCACAGCAGGGGTCTGGGATAAGTGAACAGCAGATTAGGATGAAGTACATTTCAGAGGGAGCCCTCACACATAACAGCAGGGGAGATGACAGAGCATGCTTTTCAGAGCTGGGAAGAAAATTGTTCTGAAAGGCTGAAACGAGCCAGACAAATAGAGGATAATAACCAAATTGAGAGGAGAAAAATTATAGTGAAGGGGGTTATTAAGAGTATTAACCTGAATTAGAGCTAGTGTTCATACTGAAGGATATTGCACAAATCAGACTTTATCACCCTGCTTTTTTCCACAATTAAATAAAACAAAACAACTCAAGTAACATGATTATTGTTTTTTGAAAGTTAAAATATTTCTAAATACAGACTTTTAAATAAAAAAAATCATTTGTAAGGTAGTCTTGCTTGTTGGTTTTGTTTCTTTTTTTTCTAAAAAAAAAGTGGTAAGAAAGAAAAGCTCTTTTCTGGAGTCGAAGGCAGAAGATTATCATTCAGCTTTGTTCTATATTTGGCCTAAGTATTAGAGAATGTGCTTTTTCAAATTGCTCAATATGTATGTGTTATTCAGTGCAGAGACTCCCGTCGAGTCTGTGGTATGCAGTCAGGACTGGTATGCACTAGCCTCATCCAAGGGCAGCAAACAAAAATAGATCATTTAAAAAACTGAAGAATGCAGGAGCCTAATTCTGCGAAGATGCGTGTGCATGGTCCACAGCCATCAGAGAAAGCGAGACTTGACACGATTGCACACTAATGCAACTGGTCACAAACGTTCGAGGCAGGCTGACGGGCAGCACTGTGATGTAATGGTTAGGGCTCTGGATTAGAAAGGGATTTTTGCGGGTTTGAATCCCAGGAGGTGAGGCACAGGTGCTGCTCTCTTGAGCAAGGTACCTCACTCAGAACGTTAAGATGCACGGCTTGGGATAAAGTATTAACCAAATGAATAATAAACGGATATATCTCTTCCTCCCTACATGTTGCTTTGATGGAAAATCAGCTTCTATCCTTCCCATTATCTTTATGCTTGGTAATATCGTTAATACTATCAGATAAGCTGGACTGGGTACTTTTGGGTACTTACATCTGTTATTACTTCTTGGGAAACAGCCATTGTTTTATGCATGGACTGCAGGTGAGTCAGTGTTTTCAGCGCAGCTCCTGCCTTTTAATGCAATATATTTTATTTCTTAAACATCTCCACGGAATGAGATGAGATTTAAAACCGTATTGCAACACCTACCACAATTTGTCAGATTAAGCTGTCTTTTTGAGACAAGCTGTCACGCCACTGCCTTAAAAGATTAAGTATTTGGTCACTTCAGACACCCCCTAAGTCTCAGGCTTTCCCGTGCTCTGAGAACTAGCAGAGAATTCCACTTGGCAAAATACCTGCGTCCGTACCGGAAGGAAAGAAAAGAGAAACAGGTCCTGAATTTCAGCTGGCTGCTGCATTTCTGCTCGTGACTGGGGCAGAACGGTCACCTGGTGCTGATTTGCCCTGTGCTGCGTCCACCTTGGCACCTGCCTGCCTGTGCCAGCTGGAAAGAACTGTGACTGAGCTCGGCGTTGAGCTCCTACCGCCTCACATCTCACCAGAGAGCTCGTGGAGCTGTGCAAGGAGACTCTCTGCCTCCCTGGCCTCTCTCGATCCAGTCTCGGCCCACACGGGCCCGGTGTTATCAGACCCGCTTCACAACAAGGTCGTCTGGCGAGCAGCTGCTCTCCCTCCTAGTGCAGGGGTTCTCAGTCCTGGTCATAGAGACCCCCACATCCTGGCGGATTTCTCTGCAGCTTCTTCACTGAGCTCCTTCAGCGGAGCCTCAGGCTGCTTGGTAAGAACTTCTGCAAGCTTTTTGTGCTCAAGGATTGGAGATTTTAAAGTTACTTAAGAAATGCAGTAGTTAAAAGGCAGCTTCCTACGTGTTTAGGAACTGGAAACAATGAAATAAGTTCAATTAAAAATGTCGTTAGGTCTGCTAAGGGTTCGGTTATATAACGAGAGCTTGGGCAGAACGCACACCAGCAGCACGAGCACGGGGAACACCTGGTCTACTGCACCAACCAGTGTTCTGACAACCACTACAAGTTTCTCCATCTGTTTCTCTGTAGCTTCTGCAAAACTCTGCAAGGCTCCAGGGACTCTTGCTTCAAAGAATAAATCATGGCATGTGTATCATGTCCTGCTGTGCACATATCTGCTGTACATACTGTATACTCTGTTCAGGAGCGCTTGATTCTGTTGTGTTGGCTTACCTCCTAGAGCCCAACTATTAAAGGTTTTGAGTTGGACAGACTCCAAAAGCTTTCAGTCCCCCAAATGAAATAACGCTAAAAGTAAATTAAGCAGGGCCCACATCATCACTGAGGCAGCTTGCGGTTCTAGAAGTAAAACTTCCGTTTTTTTTTTCTTTTAAAGCAGCAGCTTGTGAACGACGCGAGAATGAGAGAAAGAGAGAAAACGACAAAGTCAGTTGCTTAAAAACCCAGTTGAGAAGGTGTGTGTGGGGGGAAATCTTTGATCCGGGCTCAGCCGCAGCTCAGAGAAAGAGAGGGCTGAACTGTGGGCCAAAACCCCAACAGAGAGAGGAGGAAATGAGAGAAGCAAATGTAAAAAAAACCCCATGAACCTACCTTGTAGACGAGAGTCAAAACTCATTTCTTACAGCTCAACCAGAGCACACTCCCTCAGCTCAGCTATTGTGCTCGCTATGCTAAGACTGAACATAATCTGCACAAGATGGTTTAAATTATGACGTGAGGAGGGTTTTTTTCTCCTTTCTCAGAGAGGTGGAGCATAAAATGGGCCTTAGTTTGAAGAGACTATTTACTGCTGAAGTACTTCTGTCTTTTTCTGTTGTTTCATGACTGTAATTGTATCTTATTTCCTCACGTTTTGTAGGGGATTTCTGGTTCAGTATCTGAAAAAAAAAACGTTGCATCTGTTTATCTGGAGAAACGTTCTGTGAGTTTTAGTACTGAGCGCTGGCTCTGAGGCTCTGTGTAGGGGTGTCAGCGGTGATAAAAACTGTGATGAAAAAGAAACAGATGTTCAGCTGAAGCTGGCAGTACTTTGGGTATTTTTAAGTTTCCT